GACGCGAAGGCCGATTATGTCACCGACACGTTTGAATAAAGCCCTTCAAACGTGATCAAAAGGAGAAAAATCGCACCTCTCGCTCAGCTCACTGATCAGATCCAGCTTCTTCAAAACCAGCTGCAGGGGAAGCAGCTCCTCATCTTTGAAGGTTTTCTACAGGACGGCGAGAGACTTCAATGTCAGGCAGTGGAGACCAAGTGTTTGCATAACATGGACGAGGAACCTGGAAGCCTACCAGCTGAGTGCCGACACACAGGGCCAGAGACACCACGAGGCGCCGCTCCTTGGTGCTGGGACCGCTCAGAGCGTTTTCTGCCAGAACCAGAGACGACAGCACGTCCAGCCTCTGCTCGCTGTACTTCTTGTCGGAGATCACCCTTTTCTACGGGGAAAGTTGATTAGAAAAGCAGAAAATATTTCTGTCACAACTCTGCAAACCCGCTATGAAGATCAGGGTTTTTTTTGTGGGTGTGCATTTACTTTGGCGACGCCGATGGCGTTGAGAGCCTGCGACTGCAGCTGCTGAGTGATGTGAGAAACTGAGTCCGCCACAAACATGGAGCGCCTGTGAAACATGTGCTCCACGGCCTGAAGAGGGGGGGGGAGGAAGAGACATGTTAAATGACCCCGTTAGTTTCTTTCTCAAACTATGCACTGGTGAAAAGTACAAAAGGCACAAGATGGCGTGCACACATGCGCACACGCACCTTGAGCAATTCAACGAGTCGACACAGAGCCTTGACGGAGGTCTTGGTCATGGGCCGCTGCATCGACATGTACATGTTCATGGTGGTTTTGATAATGGTGCCGATGCTGTACGCGTACAGGATGCCCTGTGAGGAACAGGAACCTTTATTAAAGAGAAGCTAGATCTTCAACAAGCTACGCCATCGGTCAGATAATCTTACACGAGTAGTTTATGTCCCGCTAGGCCTCGCTGAGCGATGACATCGCCGGCCCTTACCTGCACAAACACGTTGCACCTGCTGTTCAGGTCTTCTGACAACTTGCCACTCTTATGCTCCGTGGACAAGATGGACTCCATCTTCATCATCCAGGAAGTTACAAACACGTAGTAGGACTGCACATCCCTGAGGGGAAGACACAACGGATGCAGTCACATTCTACTCATCTAAAAATAAACAATGAAGTGAACGTGACGGATCTCTGGCACCACTGACTTTGTCAGCGTCTGTGCTCTTTGCTGCAGAAGGACGTCTCTTTGCGCTCTGATCGCCAGCAGACTCTTCTTGTCCATCAGTTTAGCTGCCGCCGGGACCTTAGCGACGAGGAAGGCGTCGGGAAACCAAATGATGTTGGCAGTCAGAGTGACAGCCGGAACCTGGAGGTGAAGGCCGACACAATACGCAGGTGATAGAGACGTTCAAAGACAGAAATAGTGTGAATAGATTTTCTCAAACGATCGTGAATAAATTATAGAGTCTCTTGTGAATCAAAGTGGTCTATTGTGTTTATTTCTTTGCAATTCATGCAAGGTAGACTAACAGCTACACGTGGACAGACAGTGGCAAGTGTCATTCACGGGGGGTAACACCTTGATTTTCTTATGGTAAACCGAAGAACACAGACTTGAACGTAGTCGCAATACACGTCTTATTCAACGCCTTTCCTGACACCTCTGCCCGGGTCCTTTGTCTCAGCGTAGGACTGAATACACATTCACACTTTCTCCTTCCTCCACTCAGCTGCGTCATGCATCGACAATCCGAACAAAGAAGTGCTCCGACGCTGCTGCTGCTGAGGCCGTTCCCACACACACCTGGTGCAGTCAGCTTTAGACATTTAATCTAATAAAACAATTCATTTTTGCCATTACAGTAGTTAAGGGAGTGCTGTGAACGATAGAAAACGGAGAGGTACCTTTTTACAGATGTCGAGCAGCGCCTTGTAGAACTTTTTGTCAACACTCCTGAAGATGTGAAAGTGCAGCACAAAGAGACCACAGACGGAGGCGTACTTGTCCCTCTGGTCGATCTCCGAAGGTTCGCCTGAAAACAACACCGACACACACACAGCCATAAATCACCCCCAAATTTGCAGAAAATGGCCAACGAGTCAAGCCACAAAGGAGAAACTGACCAATTTTGGACTCAACATTGGTGAATATGGTGCGGATGTTGAAGGCAAACTCCTCGGCAAAGGCACTGTTTTTGGCGACAGCTCCTCCTTCCCCGGGATCATTGAACCTCTGCTCCACACAGGTCTGTCACACCGGGTGAGGTGAAAGGTCACACGCAGAATACATTCAACCCGAAACAAAGGAAATGTATCCTTCGACACAGCAAAGCAGCTGAGGGAAGTGAAGTCACCTGGAATATCATGCCATCCAGCATCTGCCCCTCGAGCCTCAGCAGGAGCTTCTCAAAGGGTTTCAGCTTCTCCTCGGGAATGGAAAATTTCCCCGGGTTATGGTGCACAGATTTCAATAACCTACAAGAAGGTGATTACATATTAAGCACTTATAGATCATAAAACGATGTCTGGTTTAAACAGATGAAATGTATTATTATTTTCGTTTGAATGGTTTCAATTCGAGGTGTCCTTCGTGATCATCCAGATAATTTAACACAAACAGATGAATTTTGCCTACAGCAGCAAAAAAAAAAAAAATCATCTTCATCTTCTCTGATATCGCACTGGTTGCATATTTACCTTTTATACATCTTCCAGTGATCTTTTAGTGTCCCGTGATTTTCCATTATCTCATCGAGTGTGAGCAGAACCACTAACAACTCCCCGAGGTGTTCGTACACAATCTGCAAAAAGGGAACACAAAAACGGACACAGTAAGAAATATTTACATAGATGACACAGAGCAACTGCTAAAATTGACAAAACGTTAAGACCCACCTGGAAATGGACACCAGATGACTCAATGATTTTTGTCGAACCCCTGAGATTTGAGAGGAGAAAATACTTGAGTACATTTTGTCACGCGTCGTAGGAGACACAAACAATCAGTGAGCACTTAAACTAGAAATGCTGTCTTGTCAGTTCTCGCTCCGTCTGCACGAAGAGCACAAAGGCTCCTTTTGACAACACGGGTATCCGAGCCAATCAGACCAGAACAGTGCATCCGCTGTGCAACATTACTTGTTGCTGTTGTAGAGGGCAGCCAGCTGATGAACAATGTTGACCACCACTTCATAACATCGGGATACAAAACAGGACAGTTCCTGCCAAACAGCGAAAACAGAAGACGTTTAATGGGGATTTCAACAAAATGCTGTGGGATTCAGCAGAGAAGTCTTCATTACCCACCTGAAGGAATGAGATGAATCTGCCCATTTGAATCTGGGACTCTCCTTCAACAACGCTGGTGTTAGACACTTTAACAGAAATGCACAAATCGGTTTTATTTATCAGTTGATCAGGAAAGCAAACCAAGAATGAGAGCAAAATGTAATATCTGACGGATTACCTCCCTCTCCGTAGTACAATAAACCATTGTAGAACTTGGTTTCTGCCTGAAAAGGAAACACAAAATCAGGACACAGTCACAATTTGCCTCTTACATCACAACACAAAAAAGGGATATGGACATTTCTTTACACTGCAGCGTCACAGTATTTCTCTGATCAACGAGTACTGGGAAATGCAGCGATGTTCAAGGCATTCATCACATTTGTTAGACCTCCAGAAAGAACACGACAACATCATTCAAACCCCACAAAGCACCTTCAGGCCAGATATGACGAAATACACAAACCAAACCCATTGCGATAGCGCAGCGTGTGTGATTATGCTCACCTCGTATTTGAGCTTCTTCACCTCACTACAAAGCGCGGCATAAACTGTAATGACTTTGTTCAGAACCTGCGTGAAACACAACATTAAATTAAAATAAATGAGAAAACTGCAAATTACAATCTGGGTTTGTCTTTAACGGGCCGACCTTGTTGTCCGTTTTAATCAACTCCAGCAAGGACGACTGCTCGTATGGGAGAAGCTGAGAGAGAGAGAAGAGGGAGGAAGGAAGTTGCACAGGTGTTGTTGTTGTGTCAAAACAACGCCGGTATTTCCATGTTGGTGTCGCAGTGTTTCACCTTCAGGGCGATGGGGTCCAGCGTGAAGTCCCACACGTCCCCGATGGAGTCGTCCAGGGCCTCCTCGATACCCCTCAGCTGGGAGGTGTACTCCTCCAGAAACTTGCTGTAGTTCTTCAGCTGAACCTCTGTGTGTATTTCTGCACAATGGAGGGATTGATCGAAGACACTTCAGCAGTGCACAGCCTTTTATTTGTTGTTGCTAAAATCTCACAAAAAGGAAAGACTCTCTTTATCGATTATGAAAAATAGACAGAAAATCAATAACCCCCCCCCCCGTTTCGTCTCTGCTGGGTGGACGGGGATATCAACCCTCAGGCAGGAGACCGGACACTGTGGACACTTCCCCCACTGTGAGCTCCTGTCAAAATTAGCCGAGTGTGGCCGACTGTCAAACTGCGGTGATTAACGTTAGCAGACGTTTGGCGTCGCTTCGCTTTACTTGCGCATCCTTTTACATGACAACTTGCCGCGCAGATATAACGTTACATTTAACGTTCTTACTCGACGAGCATTAGCTTAGCATTAAACAGTCAGACGTGTTTGTGTGCCAGCAAATAGACGGCGCCCGGTGACAGGTCAGCCCAGCTAGCAGCTTAGCACCGGATGCTAATGTCGTTAAGCGCGTCGCTACGCGACACGGCGGGACGGGACTGTACTCACTTTGAGAACCGTCGTCAAAACGGTCAAACTCCCAGTCAGGTGCGATGGTTTCTGCCGCCATGGTGCCAGCAGATCAGACCCCCAAACACTGCTGTTGAAGAGCGGGGTTACACGGGTCCCATGACAGGTCTCATGATTTTGTGAGTGGTCGCTAGCGCTCATGGGAAATGGAGTTTTCTTTTAGAGAGACGGACGATTGATAAATGGTTGGCTTGCTGGCTCCCTGAACTGATGATTTGGCAAAATGTCCTTATAAAAACAACTAATGTTACACTATGATGCTGTTAGATTACAGGACACAGGGTTTTTATCCTGCAATCTGTCTTATAACACGCTATATTTCAATATGCATGACATGGACATTATAGAGTCGTGTGTGTGTGCGCGCGCGTGCGTGTGTGCGTGTGTGTGCGTGCGTGCGTGTGCGTGTGTGTGTGTGTAAAGGGCAGTCAGGATAATGTCACTCTAAAGAGTCTGCATAACATCCCGAGGACGACAGAGTCCACAAGGAAGAGTCATGGTTGGCAGAAGAGTGTGAGAATAGAAGCCTTCTTCTGCTATGGTTTAACATTAACGGTAAGAGACTTCTTTCACTATTCTATTATTCTTCTCCAAACTATAAACTATTTGTTCCTCAAACTATCATACTGAAATCCATGTATACATGTGGACAAATTGATCTTATATCCGTGAGAGCATATTTGCCGAAGAGGCGGACAGACATGAAGATGTTCCGCATGATAAATCGATTATATATTGGAGAATTGATACGTTGCCTTAAGTTCTTAGTTTATCCGTAACCCGTTGGTCATGGCTTGGGCGTGACTAGTGCCTAACTGTACGGATCCCTTGTTATATAGTGTTTCATGATGCAAAATGTTTTTCTTTGGACACCCTTTTGCATCTGTAGATCATCATGTACACAACTTCTTGACTTTGAATGATTTTATGGATTTTTCAAACAAGAAGGTTTGGTGCAAGTATCTTTTCTGACCATTTTGAGCAATTAGAAATTGGTTGACTATGAATAAATAACATGAGAGTTTCTGTATCCTGACTTCCAAACATGTTATGTTAACACTACATTTTTCTGTCAACCGTGCTATTCAGAGTATTATTGACACATTCTGACAGACCTCTGAACAGCATGTTTGCTGATGTTTTGCAGATTGGGTAAAGGACGCTACACATTTTGTACTTTGTCTTGCTCACAAATCCATAAGCTCAGCTGTTTATCTCTTAGGAATTCCCAATGAAGAGTGTAGTCCGAGTCAGACAACACAGCCTCAGTGTTGGTGAAGAATGATAATGCAGGCAATCTGTGTCATCGGATGACTCTGCCAGAGCCGAGCTCTCAGAGTTGCCAGTTTATTTTTCAAAAGCGATATAAGTTTTATTCTTTAACAAGACATTATTTAACTTTTCAAATTTATCTTGTAAGTAAATGCTGGCTGCATCCACCAATTATAAACATCTCTTTGGTGTTTGTCGTTGTCTTTTTAGGCCAAAAGGTTTGTGACCAGCGTCGGTGCGAAGCTGTTTCTCTGGACCCAGAGGAGTAGAAATAACATTCTGCCAGCTTTTCACCATGGTTGACCCAGAGCTTGGAGATGAAGCCCTGTCCCCGAGTGGCTCCGTGGGCCGAGGCATCTGCCAACAGACTGGATCCGACCGGTCCCAGTCACAAACCTACAGTCCACGAGATTTTAGTTCTAATGGGAGCGTTTCACCACTTGACCCCAGTCTCCATTATGAGCCACAGGAGACAGACTTTCTGCTCCCAAATATGCTGTACGGTAGGTCAACAGTCAGCGGACCCCCGAGAGCAAAAGATGCAGGTGGCTCCGGTGCGCCTGCTGAGTCAGTCTGTTGTATGGTGCTTCAGATCCTGGTGCCTTTTGTCCTGGCCGGGCTCGGGACCGTCTCTGCCGGGATGCTGCTTGGACTGGTTCAGGTGAGAAACGTAGTAAAAGGGAGGAGGACAAAGGGGTGTTTTACACATTTAGGTGTCTTTCCAGATCTCTGAAAGCTACATCACGAAGCTTTAGAACAAAAAACAATCCTAATTTTTCCAGAAAGCAAAGAAATAGAGAGAGATGAGACTATAGAATGAATACTTTTTTTTTTTTTTTCAAAGTTAGTGGGTTTATTTTAAGTGTGCGTCACCCTGGCTGAAAACAAAGATGGTTTACTGTGTGTTTATTTATTTTGAAAGCGGTTCATCAGCCGTGTTCAATCTGCGAATTTATTTTCAAAGCAGAACTGGGACGTGTTCCAGGAAATCCCAGAGATCTTCATCCTAGTCCCTGCCGTGTTAGGCATGAAGGGGAACCTGGAAATGACTCTGGCCTCAAGACTCTCCACTGCTGTGAGTGTCTGCTCTTGTTATCGCACAAACACACGCACACATTCAGTACATTACGCACACAGCCCAGCGACTAAATCCAATCACACTCGTACAGTGATGTACAAAAAAAGTGACCTCATGTCATGTCGGTTCATGATAGATACACATGACAAAGAAATACAATGGGAGGTTGCACAGAACATAAGATAACGTTTCAGTAAAATGGGCAGAGATGGGAAATTAAGTTGGAGGGAAAGTAAAAAACTTGCCCTTTAGCGCCACTGGAGGCAAAAACCCAGCTTTTTGTTCATGCCATGTTGGTAATTTAGCAATTACTTACCTTTGCCTTTTTTTTATTAGTTAGTTCATTTATTAATTAGTGCATAATGTCCTCGTGAGAAATCAAAAGTATCTTCAGTTCATTTGTAATTAAGTATTTATTACAGTCTTACGTAGGAAGATAATAAATCAAACATGAGCCACAATTACAGCACAGCACAATCATAGCCCTACCCGTCTGTTTGACCGACAAACAGAAGATAAAGAAATGGATCCATCACATGTGTTCAAGTTGTGAAAAACACTATTCCCACCATTACTTGGTTTCAAAGGGTAAGAGGTCACAGAGTCCATGAGATCAGCAAACTGAATAAAAAAGATTATTACCACAGTTTTCAAGACAGTACAAAAATAAATCACATCAAGACCCAAAATAGAAGCTTCTCGACCGTATTACTTAACCTCCATCAGCATATTGAGTTTGTCCAGTTTTTAATCAGTTCATCCATATCTGATATTCTCAGGTGAATGCAGGAAGAATGGAAACCACGAGAGAAAAGTGGTTGCTGATCATTGGGAACCTGGCGCTCAAGCAGGTACAGCTACTTTGTGATTAATTAATCTTGTAAGGGAACATTTTTGTATCATTAAAAGTTCTCCTGCATAATTCTGTTGTACATTTGGACTTTGTTTTTGAATATTTCTCTACCACCGTAGCTCCAGGCCACCGTGCTCGGCCTGTTGGCCTCTTTGATGGCGGCTTTGCTGGGCTGGATGGCAGAAGGAAATGTTCCCTTAAACCACGTGATGCTCCTATGTTCAACCAGTGTTTCGACTGCCTTCATGGCTTCACTGCTGCAAGGTAACAACACAACCTGCCATAAGCTCGAACCGCTGCATTACAACCACACCTGTTAGTGTTACGTCAACCCTGCTCTGCTTCACCCTTGACCTCAGGAATAAATTAAGCCTAAACGACAAAGGTGTAGCTTTTATATGGGATCTATTAGCAGACATTGTTCATTGTTCACAACCTCGGTGCAATAGAGTCAAAAGTGTAGCGAGGTGGTAGTAATGGCTGCATACACGAGCCGTCTTCAAGCCTCCACTTTCCGTTCCCTTTTTTTGGCCCGAACCTTTATTTTCCATGAAAAATAATTATACCAACCTCAAGACTTAACAGCCACTCTTCCATTCACGTTGAAGTTAAACTTTAGCTCTTTCCAACCTAATGAATTGCCTTTGAGATTGATCTCTGGACACCTCTTAAGAACATTCTCTTGTCTTTAAACTTTTCTAGGTATTATTATGGTAGCAGTGATCATTGGCTCAAAGCGAATGGGAATCAACCCCGACAACGTGGCCACACCTATGGCTGCAAGCTTTGGGGATCTCATCACTCTTGCCTCGCTGGTCTGCTTCAGCCAGTGGTTCTACTCCCTCATAGGTAAAGAGAGACCAGCACCTCGCAGCCAGAGGTCATGTAACCTTCACTTCTGGCCAACGGAGGGTGCTTTGCAACACAGCCATAAAGAACAGGAACCTGGTTTAAACGAATGGCTACATAAAGGCTCTTGTCTCAACAGACCTGTATCCGCACGTGTTGTACCTGGTGGATCTGTTGTTTTTGTGCCTGATTCCTCTTTGGGTGGTCATCTCCTCCAAACATCCAGCCAGTCACATCCTGCTCCGCACAGGCTGGGAGCCAATTATTACAGCTATGGTCATCAGCAGGTACTAATCTTCGACCTGGAAAGCATCCACATGTCTTCAAATGTTTATCTAGGTGTTGGGTGGATTTTTAAGTTTTTAAATGAAGCCTTGACTATTAAAAGGCCAGGGCCTGGAGTTTTAAATCTGCTTTTCAAAAAAACTTTGTATGCTGGTTTCTTTTGGCTGTCTTTCTTTTAGTATTGGAGGACTTATTTTGGACAAGACCGTGTCCAATCCAAACCTGGCAGGAATTATAGTTTATGCTCCGGTCATAAATGGTAAGTTTCAAAATGTCAATTAATGGTAATTTAATAAATCCTTCAGCTAGAACCCGACTCACCACTCTCCCCAACACATGCAGCCCCCCCACTAGATTCATAGTCCCCCCCCCCCCACCTCAAGACACTATTTTTATTATATAGTTTGCTTGGAACATTAGCTCATTTCCTCCGTCTGGAGCCAGATCTCCACAGTATTCTTAATTTATTCTTCTGTTGCCTTGGAGATAATGGTACAATTTGATGGAGATAACATCTTCCCTGCTGTGATAAGACTTGTGATTTTGGGCTCTTATGGGGTAATTTTAAATCATTTAGCACTACTTCCGCTATATTGTGTGTGTAATTAAAATATTAAATATCTTTGATTGGACTGTTTTACCATAACAAATCAAAACAAACCAATTTCCTTCACCTTATCTTTTCTATATTCAGGTATTGGAGGCAACCTTGTCTCCATTCAGTCTAGTCGCATTTCTACTCATTTGCATTTGAATTACTCACCTGGAGAGGTTCCTGAAGACCGTACGGGTTGCTACAGCCCGTGCCGCACTTTCTTTGGTTCAGGTAAAGATTGAAAATGTCAAAACATCTAAATGAAGAATGAAGCCCCCCCCCGCCCCTACACACACTGATGTTCATCTTTGTCATGGCAGGAGCAAACCATCGATCTGCTCAGGTTCTGCTTCTGCTGGTGATCCCAGGTCAGCTCATCTTCTTACACGTCATCCACCTGATGAAAGGAGGCCAGACTTTGCCCAGTGCTCTCCTGACCGTTGCCTTCCTCTCTGCTTCCCTGATTCAGGTGAGTGAGACATCTCGACATTTACCCTTTGCTTACCTCCCCCCTGTTTCACAATGTCTCCCTGGTCTGTCTCTTAGGTCTTTTCCCTCTTGTGCGCAGCCGACTGTATGGTCCATGCTCTATGGCGGAGGGGTAAAGACCCAGACAGTTACTCGATACCTTACCTCACGGCCCTCGGAGACCTGCTAGGGACGGCTCTCCTCTCTCTTGCCTTCTTCATGCTGTGGTGCATCGGTGACTCAGGCAGTGTGTAGGTTCGCACTGTTTTGGTCCTGCCGCTGTTTTAAAGAAAAATCCAACTGATGCTGGGGGAGTAAAAACATTTTTTGCATGTGGTCCATTTGATCTTCCCCGCTCTATTGATATGGCTCACTTTAAAAGGAATGGCAGCACCTGATAAAGGTAATACAAATCCCCTTATCTGTTTGAGAGTCTTCTTCTTTTTAAGTCTGACCCTTTTCTCAGCAACCAGTTAAGATAAGAGTCTTCTTCTTTAACAGATTGTACTGTTTGTTAGTCAAAGGAATAGTACCTCTGTGGTGAAAATGATGAGTGGATGATGTCCTTTTGAGAAATCAAATGTATCTTAAGCTTAAGTATTTACTTACTTATTTAACTGTTTCTTGTCCTTGAGAGGAGGAAGAAGGACAAAGCTTCGAGTGTGAAGCTTTAATACACATCAGAAAAGTCTATGTTGTCCTATGTTGGACAACCCTGCACAAAAGAAGAAGGAGGGGTTACGCACTTCAACAATGTAATAGCAATAAATACAACTGTGAATAAAAATACAAAATGTGATAGAACAGCGGTTCACAAACGTTTAGGCCACGCACCCCTTCTACATCCCAACAGGGTTCATGCACCCCCATACCCCCACACTGTATCATATTCATTTTCTAACCCCCAAAAACATTTTTCGATCTTCTCCAACCTCCTCGAACCCCCTAGTCCCCCCCCTTCTTCAGGGAGACATCTTCTACAATCTATCGCACCTGACCTTCTTCCTTTCCTCACCTGTCTCATCAACAATGCTCTGTTATCTGGCTGTTTTCCCAATTCTCTGAAGGAGGCAAGAGTTAACCAACTCCTGGAGACACCTACCCTCAATCCTTCTGAAGAAAACAACTACAGACCGGTCTCTCTTCTTCCCTTTTTGTCCAAAACCCTTGAACGTAACCAACTCTCCTCTTATCTTATGTCCAACAACCTCCTTGACCCCCACCAGTCAGGCTTCAAAGCAGGCCATTCCACAGAGACTGCTCTCCTTGCTGTCTCAGAGCAACTCCACACTGCTAGAGCCGCCTCTCTCTCCTCTGTCCTCATCCTTCTGGACCTCTCTGCTGCATTTGACAGTCAACCACCAGATCCTCAAGAGGTGGGGAGGGGGGGGCGGGTGGGTGCACGAATGACAGGCTTGAGACACGAAACGTGAAATACTGGGTGTATCCGACGTAACGAACCGAGCAGCTTTAATTTGACGGTTACCGGGTTAAAAACCTTAACAATGGAAAAGGGACCGACAAAGCGAGGCATGAGTTTCCGTGAGCCTTCGCGTGTGGGCAGATTGCGAGTGGAGAGCCACACCTTCTGCCCACAAACGTATCTGGGTGCCTTTACACGGCGGCGGTTGGCAGCCTTACAAGTGCGCGTTCTGGTGCGACATAACCCTAACCCGCTCACCATCTGAAAATCAACCCCGACAAGACTGAACTACTTCTCTTTCCAGGAAAAGACTCTCCGACCCAGGACTTGATTGTCAACTTTGGCAACTCCGTGTTAACGCCCACTTTAACCGCTAGGAACCTCGGCGTCACAATCGACAGCCAACTCTCCCTGACTTCCAACATTACTGCGACAACACAATCCTGTAGATACACTCTCTACAACATCAGGAGAATACGTCCTCTTCTCACTCAGCCGGCTGCCCAGGTACTGATTGGCTCTTGTCATCTCACGCCTGGACTACTGCAACTCGCTCCTGGCAGGTCTCCCTGCTACCGCTATTCGATCTCTACAGCTCATCCAGAATGCAGCAGCTCACATCTTCCGCCGCAAACTAGACACATCTCCTCAGACTCTACCTCGACTAAAAGACTAACAAATTGTAGCACTTAAATTGTACTTTATGAGATGCATGTAATAGTAAAGTATGTTACAACACTGTCTTGTGCTAAAGCCATGTCTCAAGTGCCTGTATTTGACCCTGATGTGCAAAAAGCAGAAACGATTTAAGGCCTCCATATGCAGCTGTGTCTGAAGAAGGGAGTTAACTTGCACTCACACAGACGCTCGCCTAATTAATAGACCTGTGTTTAAGATTTGACCAATTTAGGTTGATTGACATTTTGATTACAATGGTATTCAACTAATTCTTAACTGAAACATAAACTATATTGTTAATAATTGTATTCTTAAGAGCACTTAATGATTTATGTTCAGCGAAAAATGACACAAGTTTAGTTAGGGAAAAATATTTTGCATTATCAAACAAAAAAGTGCAACAAATAAAGTGCTTAAAGTGCTTAAACAGCAGCCTTTCAAAGCAAAATAATGGATACACATAATATAAATACACATAAATAAAATAACAAAAATGAGGTATTAAGAAGGAGATCAGAAGCTGGTTAGTAATTTTTTAAGATTTGTGGGCAAGGTTGTACTGGCCTGTGGCCTTCTTGGAGGCCTTGAAACACAACTAATACTTTCTTTCAAGATTTAAAGTTTAAGAGAGTGAGTACTTAATTGAACCACATGTCATTAACATACCTTAGTCTTTGCTCCTCCTGAGTTTCTCCCGCGGTTGTGTCTGTTTGAAAATCTTCTTCTGTTGCTAACTTCGGGACTCTTTTGGGAAAATGGGATGTCTATGCATCGAATAGGTTTACAGATGCGCTCCTTAGCGCCATCTATCGTCAGGGAGTTTGAAAAGGAACGAACGCGCTTTGGCCCAAAATCAGAATTTTGTTTTGCCGTGAGAAATTGGTTGTGTGGCGTGAGTGCGTGTGAAAACATGCAAAAGTGTGTGTCACACGGCAAAACCGTGAGAGTTGGTAGCTCTGAAACCATGTCAAGAACAAATAGTGGCACATGCATAGTCTCAGAAACAGATATGAATAATAAGGGAAGAGTCAACCTGAGGATTTCACACACAGCGCAGCGAGCTCAGGCTGCAGCGAAAGAGCGAGAGAGAGAGGTAACGTTAGCGAGTAAGAGAGTATTAATGCTCTCTCTGTCCCTCTCCTCTCTCGCGACTGATAGCTTCAGATGTCCACCTGACAGTTTCTCGATTTCAGCCAAGTTAACCGAGCCGCATGTTAGCTGTTAGCTGTTAGCTGAAGTTAGCTGCACAAACTAGGCTAATGTTAGCTAGTGTGTACGTAAAAGGAAGAGCTGAAATGTATTCATTAAATTGTACATTTTTAATTTGATTCTTGCAGGGTAGATTTACAAGTCATGTCTCCATTTTATGTAAAAACCATATTGATTTTTTACAAATTGAATTTAATATGAATTATTACTCCATTTGACCACCATTACATGTTTCCTCGCGCACTCCGTAGAGGCCGCTCACGTATGGAACCAAATCCAAGTCAAAGGTTTTGTTTATTTGAAAAACAAATATGAACCTGAAAGTTTGAGTTTTGGTTTTGAACATTGAAAAATACAACAATGTATTCAAATAAAAATAAGTGCACAAGTATTTTCGTATATAGTTTTGACTCAGTTTTATAATTTTTTTGAATATTTTATTTAATTCTTCACTTGTATTTATTTTTTGATAATCACTAATATATGTTTCGGTTGCAGATTCAAATCTTATATTTTCAGATTCAAAACATAGATTTTCACTTCTTTCACTTCAGATCTTTTTTTCGCGTTCTGACCTTTTTTTTCACATTTAACCCTCATGTGATGTAGGGGTCGGGGCATCAACTGGGAGGGGCCTGTAATCATGAGTGACAGCTTAACAAATAAGGCTGACGACAAATTTGGACATCGCGGTAGCTCGTCAGCGAAGCATTGTTAAAGCACAAACGACACCTCTCTGTAACCGTAGAGATGAAGAGTGTTAAGGGTTTGCAAAGCCCTCGAGGGAGATCTCACTCCTTTGTTCTCGTCCCGGCCGGAAACGATGAATCAAAAGAGTCAACTTAGACCTAGAATGTTTATTCGCAACAAGAGTAAATAGGTCCGTGCAGTTGAACAACAACATGAAAAAAGGCGGTTGATACAAAGTGCGCTCGAATTATATAGTATCTAGGAGCATTTCTGATTGGTTATTAAGATGGAGGCGGCTCCTGCTTAGAACCCTCGGAGCCCCATTGGAGCACAGGGATATCCATCCCTCTGGGCTCTCGGATCAACACGCCTCCCATTGTTCATGAGTTCTTCATATCCGGATGTTTGCAAGGATGTTTGCAAGATGTGTGCAAGATGATTTGCATACGAGTGATTGGTGCAGTTCTAGGTATGGACATGTTATTCTTAATATGGGGAACAGGTGTTTCCTGTTTTTCTGCATTTGACCCAGATAGTGTGACGACTCGAAGAGACAGTGAAGATTAACTTCCTGTTTTTATTTTTGTAACCACTGCACTTCCTGTATCTGGTTTCTCACCCTTCGTTTCTCCCCACAGCTGAGTTCAGTTTGCAATCACCTCCACCTGTATTTAAGCCTCAGTTCCCCCCCACTTGTCTGTGTCAGGTTATCTTTTGTCTTTCCCAGAGGTGCATGTTTGTAGTTAGAAATTCCCAGTGCTGTTTTTGGTTATCTTGTTTTTACTTCGTTGCCAGGCCCTCTTCCTTTTTGTTTCTACAAGAGCGTGTGGATTCCGCCTTTGCCTGTGCACCCTTTTGTCTTTCATTAGTTTATTTTCCTAGTAAAAGATTCCAAACCTGGAAAGAAGTTTTTGTTGCCTTATTGCTCTGCACCTGAGTCGAAGTCCTGACCCCTCACAGATAGTGCATGCATCTTTTTGCAACATGTTTGTGTGCTGGTTTGTGACTTGAAATAAATGCTGTTCGTGCAATCAGGCCTTTAAGCGGCCTTCACCCATTATTACTATGCATTTATAGTTCAAGTTTAATTTCATTCTAGACGCCCCGATCCAGGTCCACGACCCCCAAGCCAGCGCCACGATCCATGCCCCCGGTACCGGCGCCACGATCCATGCCCCCGGTACCGGCGCCACGATCCATGCCCCCGACCCGACCAGTACCGGCCCCACGTTCCATGCCCCCGACCCGACCAGTACCGGCCCCACGTTCCATGCCCCGACCCAACCACGTGTAAGATCATCCTCTACTCTTATTGTGTTTTCCTGCCCTGCTCGTCCACCGGCTTGTCGCCCTTCCAGTGCGCCTACGGCTACCAACCGCCGCTATTCTCTGCCCTCGAGAGAGAGGTGGGAAGGATCTCCCTCTGCGCACCGAGAGCCGGAAGTTGGCCTCTCGGTTCGTGGGACCGTTTCCCGTTACCAAGGTGATCAATCCTGTGACTGTCCGGTTGAAGCTGCCCAGGGCCATGAGAGTACACCCCACGTTTCATGAGTCAAGCCAGTCCAGGAGAGCGCACTGGTTCCGGTCACACCTCCCCCACCCTCCCCCTCGCCTTATTGGCGGAGGCCCTGTTTATGCGCAAGCTGTTGGCAGTCAGGAAGAGAGGCCGGGGCCGTCAATTCCTGGTGGACTGGGAGGGGTATGGCCCAGAAGAGCGGGAATGGGTGTCGGCCAGCAATATTGTGGACCCTAGTCTCATCCGGGACTTTTACAGGACGCATCCTGACGTGCCTGGGC